GCCCAAGAATATGTTTTTGAAAAGAATTATTCATGAGCTCTGTGTGATATTTTTGTGATATATTTTTTTTAGTTCTACCACAAAAAATGTTGCTCTTATTGTTGGTAGCCTGCCAGTAGTTAATGACTGGCATGGATTTATAGCTGTAATTCTGGTTGCTTTTATTTTCTGTGCCATTCGAATGCCTTCTAGTGTAAATTTTAACATTTTCTGCCTGTTTCAGGTTGGAAAAGCTCCAAAGGATAGGTTATGCCGAAGGGTGAGTGAGTCTCATTGTTAAACCTACACTCTACGTAATATCTTTCTGTATGAGTGAACTTTGATTTTCACTGTTGAGATGACAGTAAAAACAGAGAGTACTGCATTAAGGAAATGGTTGTGATCTGTGGTCACTCGGTTTCCCCGTCTAGATGGCAGTTAGCGTGTGTAAGTCTTAAGGTCGTTGGGCTTTGGACTCTGGACTGGAGTAGAACTGCTGTCTCTGCCTGGGTCTGCTCTGCACTGGTCTCTCACAGTAGAGATAGCTGACCTCACCTACAGGCAGACTACCCTGACTGAGTAACCGCTGACCTCAGTTGACATTCTGATCCACCGACACCGAGGCTGCTGATCGATTTCCCTCCAGACTTTGACATGTTCTTAAATATCCCAAGAAGTGTTGAGACACATAAATCTTTTAGGCCTTTTCCCCCCAAATCACCATAACTGAAGATTTCTGTTGTGTTCTACAGAGTGATTGTGTGCCTATAGTTAAGTACGTATGTGTGCAAGTATGCACGCACACACTCTGAATTTTGTACTTTGAAGGTGTGAAGAATTGATTGTTGGCTTTAAAAAGATTATACAGAAATGCAGTAGCTCCTTGTACAGGCCTGTAGAAGGGGTCATTGGGAACTATTTATTGCCAAAAGTATGAATCTGGTATTTGGTCATCAAATGGGGAATTCTAGTTTTGTTCAGATAATTCAGTTCAGTGCCTTCAAGATGCCATGAACCAGCACCCATGTTGTTTCATTAGAACTTTCCTCGTTGAACCTCATGTGTGTTCTTACCATATTCCATGGTTAGTTGGCTAGCAAATGCCTTAGCAAGTTGAAGGATCTGCCTTCACTGTGCACAGAGAATACTACATTTTATGTCTCTCCTCTGCCCTTTGGTGCTGGAGATAGAATCCAGAGTCTCTCTGGATCCTCACCCCAGAACATTCAGATTGATCACTAGGCTCACACACTAACGGCCAATATCAAATTGATGGATGCTACCAAACCCACTGGCAGAAACTTAACTATGTATACAATAATCAGATTGTAGTCAGTGTAGAAAGTCAGGCAAGTGGACATGCTGAGGTCTCGTGTTTCTCTGGTAGTACAGAAGTGTTGATGCAACCTCATCATGTTCCTTTTTGAGAACAGGACGTGGGGATGAGTGACACAGCAATGACATCCTTCCTGGGGTCCTGCCTGGAGCTTCTTCAGACTTCACTGGAGGTAAAAGGCGTATGCTATCCGGGCGCAGTGGGGCATGCCTGGAATCCCCTCTTGGGAGGCTGGGATAGAAGGACTGAGACTGAAGGCCAGCCAGGGCCATGAAGTGAGACTACATACACACACATAGCACCTTCTCCCCCCACACCCTCATTTGAGTGTCTCTGTGGATAGTAAATATTCTGAAAATCATTGAGCTTAAGAAACGACATTATTATGATGGGCTTAGCTAACATATTCATTTGTAGGTTTTGGCTTTAGCCTAAAAAGTGATATATCATCTCCCCCCCTCCCCCCTTATATTTTTGTGATTTCTCGGTTTGCAGTTTGGGATGTTGAAGTTTTCAGTCTTTATTCTCCAGCTCTTGACACAGCCTTCCTTCCATTCTCAACTTGCACAGGCTGACATCAGCAGGGATGAAATGCAGGTGCCGGTCCTGGACACGGAGGATGCCTGGCTGTCCGTGGAAGGACCCATATCTATAGTGGAACTGGCGCTCGAGCAGAAGCCTATCCACTACCCGCTGGTGGAGCATCACTCCATCCTGTGCTCCATCCTGTATGCGGCCATGCGCTTCTCTCTGAAGAGTGTGAAGCCACTTGCCCTCTTTGATAGCAAGGTGAGTCCCCGAGGGTACGTGAGGTTCTTCCTGAATGGTGTGTGTGCAGGTTCTTCAGTGGTTTACGGGGGACAATCCTACCTAGCTCCATTCTTCTAGTTTATTCACGATGTCCTTTGATGTCCAATGGGGTTTTGCCCTCTGCTCTTGGTCCTTCTCATCCTGCATATTCTCTCTAGATACATCCAGACCTACTCATACAGTCTGATGAGTGTGCTTCAGTTGAATGTCCTAAGGAGTTTGAGATCCTTTGAATCTGGAGACCCTCACCCCATCCTGCCCTGACTTCAGTTTGCTTTCCCTTGAGTTCCCTGGCTTGAGTTATTAACAGTAATGCTACCCTTTGTGTGCCAGCACACACTAGAACCTGGAGGTGAAACCTTTGTGTACCAGCACACACTAGAAACCCCCTGCCTCAGCCCAGTCTACTTACTTGTTCTTACTGAAAGCTGAAGTTAGGCATGGTGGCCTGTGCCTGTAATCCAGCACTCAGGAAGCGGAAGTTGGAAGTTTGTGTGTTCATGACCAGCATGGGCGACATGGTCGATTCTAGGCCATCCTGAGCTAAATGAGACCATCTCAAGAACCAAGACAACCTACTGGACACTGCTGTCCCGTGCTGCTTTCCTAGCTTGTGCCTTGTCCCCACCCTCCTGACTAGTAAGCAGACCCCTTCCTAACTGTCCTGCCTCCGTCGCTCTCGAGGCCCAACACTGGGAGAGCTGGCTTCCTGAGCAGATTGGTTCCTGCCTCACATTTTGTAGCTCCTCACAAAACCAACGTGGTGGTCTTCCGGAAAGACTGCATCATCAGGCTGATTAGTAAGTCCCGAGATAGAAGATTCCAACAGGAAATAAAAACTTCAGCTTTACCGCTCAGATTTGACTGCATTGGAGAATGTGGCTTCAGTGCATGAGGAAAGTACAGAGAGTCACTTCTCAGCCTTTTGGCTAAAGTATAACATCAGCTTTTTCTCAAGACAGGCTTCCCCTCAGGTACCTGTCCCTGTAGGAGCCGAAGAGGTGTCTCCCTGGAGAAACACCACCTCTCTCAAGAGGACATACAGGGCATGGAGGATTGATGGAGGATTCAGCCTTCGCTTACACTCCCAGCCCTCAGGGTCATGATTGGTTCTTTTTTTTGGTTTTTTGAGACAGGGTTTCTCTGTGCAGTTTTGCGCCGTTCCTGGAACTCGCTTTGGAGACCAGGCTGGCCTCGAACTCACAGAGATCCGCCTGCCTCTGCCTCCCGAGTGCTGGGACTAAAGGCGTGTGCCACCACCGCCTGGCTGGTTCTTATTATTCTAGGGAAGTTGTGCCACATAGAACTCTGGAGCCAGGAGGGACTTCCCACAGCCATTCCTGTGTCAGCCATCCCTCGGTCACATGTCCATCACTCTCTTCACAGGCAACTAGTTTGTGTGGCCGGTGTCTAGTTATTTTTTTAGGTTTTAAGATAACCACTTAAGCACCCTCTTCAGAGTGCTTGTCTGTGTCCCCTAACTTGTCACATCTCTTTGCTGTTCCCATGTCTGTGTACCTTGCCTAGCACAAAGCAAGAGCTCATCTGGATGCATTTGTAGTCAAGATGTTCAAGGAAAGGCGCATGTCCACAGTGTGCAGAAGATCCATTGTGTGAGAAGGGTCCGGTCAGGGACCGGGGCGGGTGTGAACTAGGAGGTAGTCAGTTCTGAGGGCTCACAAGATTCCCCCCATAGGACTGACAGCAAACCTGTTCTCAAGCTTGGGACTCTCACGGAAAGCTTATTCGGAATGTCTTAGCCATGTGAAGTTTGACACTCTGTATAAGCAGGAGTAGTACATATTTTAAGAGAGATTTGGGGCTGGGCTTCAGCTTGGTGGTAGAGCACTTGCCTGGTATGCCTGGTGCCCTGGGTTCTATCCCACCTAAGCAGAGTGAAAGAGAGAAAATTTTAATCAACAACATTGAATATTTAGATTACAGTTGTTTAGGGCAGGGTCCAGCACAGTGCTAGAGACTGGATCTAGCCTGCAGAGGACACAAAGGAAAAATAAAGACTGCTGCTACCCCAGCAGTTAACTTCTGACAGAAAAAAAAAATGTTAGGGGGAGTCTGACGGCAAATTTTTCTCAATGAAACAACATTATATGTAATAAATATTGGTTTTGAATTAGTGTATCTTTTACTTGAAATTGTAAAAGATACTTAAGAAATACTAGGTTTGGCATGGTGGTGCATGCCTTTACTCCCAGCACTCTGAAGGCAGACACTGCCTGAGGATCTTTGCTAGCCAGGACTACCTGCATCCTGGGCAAAAACTGACATATGTCTGAAGCGAGTGGGTAAATAGTTTTAACTCTTGGCCCTCTGTGTAACTTAGACTCATAGACATTCACTATGCAGACACTTCTTAGAGACTTTCTGGGATGGCTTGTTCACGAGAGGTTGTTGAGTGGCTGATCTGGGGCTCTCAGCTCTGCACTCCATTCCCTGCGGAGGGAAATCTGACCCTATTGTCTGATTGGTTTTTGTGTTGGGGTTTGGAGGCCAGAGGAGGATGTGCAGCTTTTCACCTTACTGACTGAGACAAGGAGTCTCACGGCCAAAAGCTCCATGTTTACTCTAGGGCTGGCTGGCCAGTAAGCTCACTGATCAGTGTACACCACCTCCACTCTCCAGTGTGGGGTTGCGGCACACTCAGCCATTCCGGCTTTTCATGTAAGTGCTGAGGGCTTAAATTCAAGTATTCATGCTTGGTCAGTGAGTGTTCTTATCCACTGAGCCATCTACCCCGCTTGCCCTGTGTGACTCCTTAACCACGTCTGGTCTTAAACACGTGATGAGTCAGATACATGCTGATTGTTCAGTTACCTGTGGCTGCTTAACCAAAGTTACCCCAGAGACTGGGTGGTTGCCAGCAGCCACCACTTGACACTCTAGAGCTTAGCCTGGCACATGCTAGCAGTTGCTCTGTCACTGAACTAGAACCACGGGCCTTGGTAGTTCGTAGTGTCAGTTACGTACCCTTGAACTCAACCCCCTAGCTCCCCGGGGATTACAGGCATGGGTCACCACACCTGGTTTATTTCCTCAGACCTTATGGGCCAGGAATCTGACTTCCTTACCTAGCTGCCTTTGGCATAGCGGGTCTTGTGGGACTGTGGTGGGGTTGCTTCATGGAGGCCTCAGCTACACTGGGGAGTATGATCTACTCCATGGAGCTGTGTCTAGAGGGTGGCTCACTTGGCCACTGGGCCCTCTCAGGGGGAGTGAACAAGAGCACCCAAGGCAGAAGCCACAGTTCTTTGGAGCCCAGTCTGGAGCATGACTTGCTGTCACCTGTCTGATGCATCATATTTTCTGCCTGTCAGCAGCCCACATTCCGGGGAGGAGGAATTGCTTGGGCTTGATACTAGCAATGGTTACCAAGTTAGATAATGAACAGAATGCTAACTTCTTTCTGTTTAAGGGGAAAATAAAAACCAACCATGAATTACTCATAGTAAAGTGATTGGTTTTAAAAATCTTTCCTTATGCTCCCTTAATAATCCATACTCATCAGGGGTTTTTGTTCTCGTTTTTCAATCTTTCTCTTTAGGGAAAGAATGCATTTTTCAAAGACTTAACTTCAATTCAATTATTACCGAGTGGGGAAATGGATCCAAATTTTATTTCTATAAGACAACAGGTAAGCTAGCAACTGGATTTTGTTCTTGTTTCTTAGGAGGAAATAACAAAGTAGAAATATAGCTGTCTTTTTAAAAGCTGACTACTTCAAGTTATTCAAGTATATATTCCTTTATTGGTATCAAAACAACTTTAAAGCAGCGGGATGGTCCAGCAGGTAAAAGCCCTTAGTGACCTTAGCTGGACCTCCAGGACCCTCATGGCAGAGAGAACTGACTCCTCCACATTGATTTAACTTTAAAAATTAAAAGGCCAGGTGGTGGTGGTGGCAGCGGTGGCAGCACATGCCTTTAATCCCAGCACTTGGGAGGGAGGCAGGTTGAATTCAAGGTCAATCTGGTCTACAGAGTGAGTTCCAAGACAGACAAACCCAGTCTCAAAAAACCAAATAAATAAATAAAAATTAACAATAATTGTAATGGTGTCTCTCTGGTTGATACAAAGTTGACTTGAGGCACTTTAATGTTATTGTGTGTATGGGGGTGGCCTTGTGTATTCCATAGCACTATGGGGAGAACACCTTTGTGTAGTCCGTTCTTCCACTTTCCCATGAACTCTTGGGACTGAACTCGGGCTACCAGCTTCTACAGCAAGCACTGGGTTACTCTTCAATGAAAAGTACTGACAAGGCAGTGCTGTGCCTTCCTGTCTTCAAGTTCTTACTGAAAGTTGTCAGTGCAGCTGTCCAGGCTCAGCATTCTGTCACCAAGGACAAAGATCCCGCCGAAGAGGCAGTGACCACTCATTGGAAAGACAACTGGCCAGTTCTGGCTGTGGATTTAGCTCAACACCTTCAAGTGAGCGAAGATGTCATTCGAAGGCATTATGTAGGAGAGCTGTACAACTATGGAGCTGACCTCTTAGGAGAGGAGGTAAGAATGACCGGTGATGTCATTCTTGGGGCTCTCGCTATAAAACAGACAGCTGGAGGAAGCAGTAAACGGTCGGTTATAGTGGTGCATACATTTGGGATGTGGATGCAGGAGGATAAGAATTTTAAGGTCATCCTCATCTACATAGGCCACCTTGGGCTGCATAAGACCCAGTCTCAGAAAAAAACAAGAAAAGAGTAGAAAGCCGGAGCCAGAGTTGTGCCTGGTGCCAGGTTCATACAGATGTAGAACATAAGAGGGCTCCTTGTGGAACTGGAGGAGCAGGAAAGCATGGATAGTTCTGTACCAAGAGACGAAAGTGAGTAGAGCCACAGGATAAATGGGAGCCTGAGTGGGTGGAAGAAAGTGATAGCTGAACTGACCTCTGAGGGAGAGGGAACAGTAAGTACCTCAGAAGGAAGAACCAAGAGTACAGAAGTCCTTAGATGGGACCAGCTTGGCAAGGTGCAAGGCTCGCCAGCCATGAGTAAGGGGTGGGTAGGCATCCACTCACCAGCAGGGAGTGATTGAGAGGAAGTTGGCTGCTCTCCAAGCCTGAGGTTACTATAGTACTTAGGTAACCAAACTAGCTGATGAGCAAAGATTTGGGTTTAAATTCTAAGTTGGATTTCACTCTTCCTTTGTGCATACTGTGGTCATGTAGAGAGCAGAAGTAGACGCTCCTCACTGGCAGCCTTCAGGGAACAGTTTGAGTAACTCTGGCTGTGTTGTTTCTCCATGTTCATCCTCAGGCCATTCTGCAAGTTCATGACAAAGAAGTGCTGGCATCTCAGCTGCTCGTGTTGACAGGGCAAAGGCTGGCTCATGCCCTTTTCCACACCCAGACAAAAGAAGGCATGGAGCTGCTGGCCAGCCTCCCACCCACACTCTGCACCTGGCTGAAGGCGATGGTGAGTGCAGGGCGGCATGAGCAGGTCCATGGGTGACCTTTCCTCGTGAGTTCACAGCAAGAAATTTGTTTCATTCCAAAGAAATGTTTTGATTGGGAGAACTTCCATAATAACGCTGAAGGCAGGAACAACCACTGTTTGAGTGCGTGAAACTAAAGGGCTTTTGTGTCCCATTCGCAGAACCCCCAGGATCTTCAAAACACTGATGTGCCAATTGCAACAACAGCTAAGCTGGTGCATAAAGTGATAGAGCTCCTGCCAGAGAAGCACGGCCAGTACAGCCTGGCTCTGCACCTCATCGAAGCTGTGGAAGCCATGGCCACGCTATGACAGTGTCTAAGACCCTGTGACCACACGAATCACTGCATGGCATTCTACACAGCAAGACCTGGAACTTTGGGGAGGTTTTTTTTTTTTTTTTGTATAATAAATAAATATATTACTTTTAAAAAGTGCAATCCTGGCTAAATTCCACTTCTTCAGTTGAGACTGAAGATAAAATACATTAACTGTGCTATAATTAATACAGATGCTTTACTGTTATTTTTTCATTCAAATAAGCAGCTTTATTGTTAAACTTTGGTATTGTAACTGGTTATAATTTGCAGATTTCATTCTTACTGTAGTATTCTAGTTCCTATGCAAATGTCTCCAGTGGGGATTAAGTGTGTTCATATAGCTTCCATCAGCACGCTCGAGATACAGCCCACATCCCTTTAGAACATGCAGAGATGTCCTTAGCTTGGCCCTGCACCAGGATGCCACCTGGCAGGGAGCTCTGGGTGCTGCTGCTGCTGCTGCTGCCATCAGAGGAGACATGGCTTTGAGATCACCAGAAGGGACCTGGAGAAGGACCCCGAGCCTGCTCTACTTGCCAGAATTGGGAATCAGAGATGTGAACAATGCAGCAGAATCAATGATAATGTAAACTAAGATTTATTCTTTATTTTGTCAAGTTCCAAAATTGTGTCCACATCAGGTAATTGTAAAAAATGTATTTATCTTGTAAGACTTATGTAAAAAAAGAACAAAGCAAAGATTCTAAAACATTTAAAGTCCAACTTTATTTTTCTTCCAAGTGTTCCAAAATGTCTGTTTCTGGGACTTGGTCATGTTGCCTGTCCTAGGAGCAGGACAGAGAACACACTTTGTGCTGTGACAGCCTTAGCAAACCTACCTCACAGCTGGGTGGAGAGGATAAACTGCGACCAGTTCTGTAGCCTGTAGTGCCTAGAGCAGACCAAGTGCTAACCAAAGTGGGAGGCAAACCCACCCACCCCACCTGGCAACAGCGCTTTGGCTCTGCAAATGGGCGAGTACTAACTGCGGTTTAACTATCTCTGGAATGTAGCCATACAGTGCAATTATTGGTGTCTGCCATGACCACGGTTCACAGTGATCATTCTAATAGTGGGAAGAAGCCAACTCCACCATTGTGAAGGTTGAGAACGTTCTTCAGGGACACCCAGTAGAAGTCTGAACCTGAGCACACACAAATGTGAATTCTTTTCCCTTAAAAAGTTAGATCTAAGTAAGATTGTGCCTGGCTAAAACTAATGCTGTTAACTGTCAGATTTCACACCTTCAAAGAGAAATGCTTCAGGTGTCACTCGGGTGGCTGAGGAGCAGCTGGCCACGGGCTGCAGTCTCTTTAAGCACAGCTTGAGTGACAGAAACCCCACCCTTTACGAGGTCCTAGGAGGTCCGTTCTCCCGTGCCCTGCAGTGCTCTGGAAGAGGAGCGGGCACCACTAATCATGACGGCCTTTTTACTCTAATTCCATTACTTGTTTTGGGAGGGGGGTGGCTTGTATTTTTGAGAATAAAACTGGCTAAATTTACTCTCATAAGTCACTTAAGAGAACCAGAACGCAAATTGTTAAGGCTCTAAGTTAGATTTGTCATCCAAATAGTAATATATAGAGAATTTAAAAACGAAATCCTGAGTTTAACAAAAGCAGTAAAATGTTCTACAACTTTACTAAGGGCTTTTAAAATAAATCTGATAAAGAAAAATTTAACATTTATGTATCCATTCTCTAACAACAAAGTGCCACAAATAAAGGAATTCGGTTCTACTATGGGGCTGGTGTCCCTGCACCAAGGGCATGACACATGCCCTTAGCCAGTAGTGTTTCCCTAGACGCCCCCATCTCTTCTTACAATTCCATGTTTTTATCTTGTTAATGAAAGTGTCAGATAACCCTAACTTCTCTATCCAGGTTGTGGTAGATGTAGAAGAGGAGGCCGGGATAAACGTAGACACAGCAGTACACAGCACCAGGCTTCCCATGCTTCCCACTTTGGCAGAGAGACAGAAAAGAGCTGTACCTTGTTAGAAAAGTCCATCTAAGGTCAGTGTGAAGCCTGCTGCATTTACATAGCTTTTTAAAATATGATTACTTGTGATTTAAAATCATGGAAAACTAAAACTTAGTAACAATAAGCTTACATCGATTACAGCATTCATTTAGAAGTTGCTGTGGTCCATTTCCTGAAGAAACAAGTATTCTTACAGTACACTATAGCAACAGTGAAGGCTCTCTCACCTCGCAGGGATGGGTTTGCTAGGCAGCTAGATTCTGCTTAGTAGATTAGCCATCCTTGGAAGGTCAATCCAGTTTTGGATTCCTTACAAGATGCTCTATTATTTATCTACTGTCAATGTATTGTAAGTAGTGAATTCTGTATATACCGTTATTTTCCGTGTCTGTTCATTATTGTGAACTTATGTATATTAGTGAAATAAATTTTCAGCTTTCATGTTATTTCCTTGACATTCATACATGTAAGACAAAGAGATTTCTTCCTCTTGAATAATAGTTTGGTGATGTTCTTTGCAGTACTTTCCAAAATCCTGCTGCCTTAGAAACTTGATGTTTGCTAGTGGGCAGAATGCACTGGCTCCCTTCACCTCGTGTGGGCACACGACTCTACCACCACTCCCCTGCAAAGTTACATGTTCTTCATTATCCACAGCTTATACACCATCATCAGTTGGAAGTTTCCCAGAATGCCTTTATTTTCAGACATCACAGAACTTAAATACTGAGTCAAAAAGTTTCAATAAAATATGAAACATTCTGTTTGGCCACATTGAAAGTAACCATATTCAGTGCCTGACTCTGAAGAAGTCCATCATGAGTGTATGTGCAGACATACGTATGTCTGCATATATGTATTTCTGTGTGTGTGTGTGTGTGTGTGTGTGTGTGTGTGTGTGATATATACATATACATGTGTATATGTATGTATATATATATAAATCTTTCTGTAGTTACAGGAAATACTTTTAAAATTCTGATTTTTACTCCTATCTTTCTCTTTTACCATTACTCTTCCACCCTTACCTAAATCTTGGACTTCTTTCTAGGGTTCTAATAATTCACCCCCAGACAGCATCGATGAGGGTTTCTTGCTCAGAGAGCTGTTTACATCAGAATGCTATTTTGCACCAACAACCTCTGCACACCGAGGACAGAGAGTGTCGGCAGTCTCGGTAGTGTGCTTCCAACATCGAGGGCACTTTTCTTTGGCAGTTGGTACGACAATGACTTTATAGGAAGACTCCTCATGGATGTCGCCACCTTGAAAAGAACACACCGAGCACCTCCAGTCACTAAGCTTGCACTGTCAGCCCTCGGCCCAGCAGGCATGCCTTCCCCAGGCTCCCCCCACCCCCCACCTTTCCAACATGGCCCAGGTTTGCCCGTAACAAACTGTCAGTGAAACGGATCAAACCGCTCGATGACTGAAGAGCAGATGACTCAGACCAGCTGCTTCTCATCCAGGTCGGAGCTCTGCAATGCTCAGGTAGAGCTGGCCCTGCCATTCCTATCCAGGCACACAGCTGACTTGGAATTTCTTTTTTTCTATTAGGACAGTCTCTGCCTTGCCCTCACAGAGTGAGGCCTCCTCAGTGCTGAGACTAAAGGTGTGTGCTACCACACCCAGCTCTTAACCCGGGATTTTAAAATGCCAAGTTAAAGAGACAGCAGCAATGCCACTAACAACTTGAGTGACACAAAGGGAGCCACACTCTCCACCTCTGCAGCTAATGAGGATGAACCAAGGCGGCAAAGCTCTGCAGACAGTGCACAAAGTCCTGGGATAGAAACCCCAGGAAATCTTACCGAACCCCTGTAAGAATGGCTAGATAGTATTTTAATTTTCGATAATCATCAAAGGAAATTTTAGAATCTGCCTAGGAAAGGTGGGTGGGTCTGGGTAGTATTAGGCACTACATATGAGGACAGAAGACAGGAAGGAAAAAGACTCACGGTGACAGTTCCTCAGTGGGTGAGAAGGAGGAGCTCGCCCTGCCTCGGCTTCAGTTCCTAGAGCCCTGAGAGCTGGCTGTGTACAGGTCACAGGCTGTCCTTACAGTAACCCGGGGTTGCCCTCAGCTCTCCAGTCCACACTCACTACTCACCCTCTAGATTGATGAGGAAAGTCCCCGTGAGCTCAATGCTCTCTGCAGTCCTCTCCCGTGGCTCCTGAGACAGCAGTGTTGTCCGGGAGGCCATCATTAGCTCATTCAGCTGAGACGTGCTAGAGGTCTCCTCAGCCTGGAGCATCTGGAAGGCATGGGAAAGTGACTCTTCAATTAAAATTGGACCATCAATTTTCATTTTTTACTTTGAAAACTATGGTTCCCCTCAAACCCCGACCTATATGGTATTTATTACACTTATTTTGCAATGAGTAAGAGGTTAAGTTACCCTTATCTGTCAAGCCAAAACTCTGCCAACTTTTTAAGAGCCTCCCTCTATTAGCAGAGGGTTAGGATACTGTAAATAAGACCTGCTTTCATACAGAGCACTAGCAGCAACCTGATACTCTGCCTTTCCATGGTGTAGTGACTAGGCTATCTGATAAGCACTTTTGAGATTTTTCCTTTGTAATTTTGATCTTCAAGAGGAGTTTGTGAATTAATATAAACATTCCTTTAAAAAATGAAAGACCATGAGACTCGGATTAACGTGCTGTCCATGAGCATACATGCGTGCAGGGGTGGGGAGGTGGAGGGGCTGTCAGGCTGACGGCCAGCCAGACCGAGGCTGTGCAGCGTACAGCGGCCAGCGGCTATTCTCACCGTTGCCAGCAATGTCAATACTCTAGTGACTCCGTCTCCAATCTTCAGTGTTCACACTGAGTTTACCAACCAAAGTAAGATGGTTCCTTTTCAAAGACTTAAGGTAGTTATGTGCAGGAGTGTCTGCTGTGGGAATGGATATGGACTACATGCAGAAGAGGGGGTTGGATCCCCTGAAACTGTAGTGACAGGTAGTTGTGGGCCACTAGATGGGTGCTGGGAACTGAACCCAGGTCCCCCACGGAATTAGCAAGTGCTCTTAACTGCTGAGCCACCTTTTCAGCCCCAAACTGACAGTAATAGAACTTTTTAAAAAAGCATTTAAACTAACACAAGGCTCAACACTTAACATCCTGCTACTTGGCCAATCAGTCCCTAAGAGGCCCACCAAGAAAACTCTGATGGGACTTGTGGAATTTAAAACATGAGGAAAGTTTGGAGAAATATGTTGATTTGCTGTCTGTGGTTCTTATGAAATTAAAGAGAACTTATTTTTGGTTTGTTTGTTTGTTTGTTTGTTTGTTTGAGACAGGATTTCTCTGTGTAGCCCTGGCTGTCCTAGAACTAGCTCTGTGGCCCAGGCTGGCCTCAAACTTACAGAGATCTACCTACCTCTGCCTCCCGAGTGCTGGGATTAAAGGCGAGCACCACCTCTGCCCATTGAGAACTCACTTTTGGGATATGATCCAGATGGACAAAATTTTTCAAAACCCAGGCCTTCAGTGTAAAACTCCTGGTTTTTACTGCCGAGGACATCTGGCACTGACCTAAACAGCCCTGCATGTGTCACGAGTCCAGAGCAGGGGACAGTGACAGGTTCAGTGTTGCAAGACTGAAATCCTAGTTTCTACACTGATAGAAGGTCTTAAACATTTGAGAACAGAAAGCGATTCCAGATTCAACGCTCCCACCATTACGCATACCTCCATGATCTCGAAGAGGAGTCCCGGCTCAATCACAATGGTAACCTCGTACTCGGCAGCATTTTTGCCAGGGATGCTGCCAAGAAAGGAATCTCGCATGGCACACGCACTCTCCACTGCCTCCTCCAGTCCTGGTTTCTTCCAGATAGAGCTCGTATCAATCCACCCAGTTCGAAAAACACTCTTGGGTTCTTTAAAAAAGAAAGTGAGCCGAGTTATACATGGTCTAGACAGCATATAAGCTTTAACCAATGGAGACTCCATTCACTAGAGACAAGGGTTGTTACATAGGACGTGAAGTTCAGTGAACAAGTGTGCTGTTCACAGGGTCCACGAGTGAAAGGTGGATCACATTATAAACCATCAACATAAAAGTCTCAAAAATGAAGCAGAAGTATAAACAGTTGTTCCTCCTGCTATGAGGTTAGGAGTGACCCACCCAACACCCCCATAAGTTCTAGTTTTCTATGGAAATAAAATCAGGAGAGGAAAAAAAATAACATGAAAATATTCACTAAAAAGCATTGTATTTTGCTTGAATACAGCTTAAAATACAGCCCGGCAGAGGTAGCTCACACCTTTAATCCCTGCACTTGGGAGTCAGAGGCAGGTGGATCTCTGAGTTCGAGGCCAGCCTGGTCTACAAAGTGAGTTCCAGGACAACCAGAGCTACACAGAGAAACCCTATCTTGAAAAACAAACAAAAAACAAAACAAAGAGCTTTAAATACATTTTGGAACATTATAAACACATTTAAGCACAAGTTTTTTCTCAATATTGTCAAGTACTTAATCTATCTCGGAAGGCACAGAGCCAGCCCTGACTCCTGTGAGAAGGTACAGAGCAGACTGAATGACCAAAAGGCATCTGTCCCAGTGACACTCTAAGTGCACTGTGTGACACCTTTTAAAGCCCAGGCCAACCCTGGCCACGGCCCCTCTTGTGCAGAACACGCTGTCCTTACCTTTGACATAGGGGATGTGCTGGAACACCTCTTCTGCCAAGTGAGGAAGAATGGGGGCAAAAGAACGGACCAACACATCCAGAATCTCTGCCAATGCGGTCTGACAGGAGCGCCGTTTGGGGTCGTTCTCGCTTTCACAGTAGAGCCTGGAAGAACAGCTTGCTCAAGCAGCTGGCACACTGCCCCAGCCTGGGCACACCCACCGCTAGCACCGCATCTACTTCACATAGGTTCTGGACAACTTCTCTCCTATCCCATTCTACTCTCAAGATGTACCCGTTTCCTCTGACTTTAAGGCAGACGACAGTCTAGATCACCGTCTTTGTATACAGCCAATAGAGTAACTGACAACATTTAAATGACTCCCATCTCCAATGATGCCATAGGGTTTTCAGGAAAAGAGCATGAGTTATAAAGCCTATGCCAAAGCCACTGAGGTGCTGTGTGACAGGCTGGGGCTGATAGCTCATGCCAGACTAGTCACCAAGTCCACTCGGCCTGGCGTGGAACTCTCTTTGTAGACTAGGCTGGTCTTGAACTCAGAGAGCCTCCTGCCTCTGCCTCCGAGTACTGGGACTAGAAGGATAGGTATTACCCTCCTCATTTTTCAGACACACTGAGATCGCAAACACGAAGCTGATTAAGCGGCAGGGCACATGTGAGACTTGACCCAGATCCCGGATGTGACCACTGCATCCTTGATGCTGCTGAGGACTGCATGCTTAGTCACACTCACCTGTCCTTGACTATGCTGAAGTAGAAGCTGGACAGTTCTCTGGTGTAGAA